TAAATAAATATAAAAACTTTATTTGGATGATGGAGGCCTATTGCAGACGGAATGCTTGATGAATAAAGTTAAATTTAAAATACAAAATAGGAGACTAAGACTCAATCTACTTTCACCAAACAAACAAACAAATAAACAAACAAACCAGCAAAAAGCGAAGAAACAAATTAAAAATGAAAAATGAAAAACGATAGCTAAGCTCTAGTATGATGTATTATTTATCTAATGGTATTTATATATTAATTTATATTTGGGTTGTAGTCGCAGTAAGGAGATATTGTGTGGTTTTTAAGAGGTTGTAGGAGGTCCTTTTCTTTCAGAGTTCACTAAGTTAAATGTCGTTTGGGTTGCGGTTATTTTTGTTGCACTATCCAAATAAATATCATTATTGTTTGTAATAAATTTTAAATACATTTTATACGTGTAACTCACTCCCATAATCCCTCATTTTGGAAGGTTTTATGAGAGATAATTTAATAAAAAAAATAAACGGGAGCCTTCCGGGTTTTTGACCTGAGTTCAAACGTAATTTATTGCCTTTTATTAATTGTAGTTATTATTTCCCTTTTAATACTTTCCCCATGAATGCAACACCTCACAAGTACCTTGGGTTACTAATTTAATGAGCTTTATTACCGTAAGTATTTATTTTATTTATTTGTCGAAATTTAATATAACATTTGCCGTGGTGTTATATTTCATTTATCACTTGGGGTGTAACTTTTACAGATTCTTTGCTGGGGGGGTGTGTACGCTTACAGTGTTTTAAATTAAACTTATAGTCACTGTCCAGAAAATGTTTAGAGGAAATAGAAGCGGCTTGACGTTAATATTGTCTATTCTTTTTATGGCATTTAACCACTGTTTGCAAAAATCAATTTTTTTCGGGAATCGATGAAATTTGTTTTTATTTAAAGGGTTTTACTTGGACTGGTTGTCCAAATTGCATACAAATATGCCACACCGCATTTTAATAAATGCAAATGGCACGACACAAACTAAAACACAAACAAAACAAGTTTCAACGCAACACAAAAACAATATTAAACAAACAGAACAGGTTAACACAACGCAATAACAATAATTTGAACACTGAAAAGTAATTCGAACCTCACTAAACGCAAAAACAACAAGTTAAAAAAATAGAGCAAGTTAACATCCAACAGCATCGCAAAAACAAGAATTTTAGCAGCAGATAATTAAATATTTAAAAATACTTAACAAGTGACGTATTTAAGCCCCGCCCAACATGCGCACATACACTTAAGGTGTATGTAGCAATCGTACCTTTTCATAACAACAAATGGTCATGCGCGGTACAAACGGTCATAAATTATATTTGGACACGTCCTCAAGATCACATTGTAGTACTTACTTCCTTTCTCACTGAAACTGTTTGTTCAAAAAAATTGTTATTTGTGCCTTTTGGAGACAACATTTGTTTTACTTTTTTAAAGATTCCTAGTCAAAATAACAGGCCCACCCTAGCCCCCCCCCCGGGTCAGATGGCTAGTTACGCCAATGTTGAGTAATTTTTGGCACTTTGGGCCTAAAACAGCCTAAAATGTAGGTTTTTATTGCCTATTTATGTGTCCTAATTTCCAATTTTTAACTGCCTAAAATTCTATTTTAGGCGGTTGAGGCCTATTTTTGGCACTATAGGTCTAAAACAGCCTAAAATGTAGGTTTTTATTGCCTATTTAAGTCTCCTAATTTCCAATTTTTAACGGCCTAAAATCCGGTCTTTGTTTATAATTAATTTCCTAAACAAAAAAATTAACACGTACCTACATAAATGAACACAAAAGTATCATACACGCAATTAAATAACACATCATTCTGAAATCATTCTGAAATCATCAAATTATAAATAATAAACAAATTTGGTACAATATAATTATCAGTAACTTTAAACCACTTCACTGAAAACCAGTGATGGCATCTTTCTTCGGACACACTCGTTGAATAGGCATATGGAATCCAAATAAAAAAATAACAAACTTCTGGAATTAATTATAAACATTTTGAACAGTTGTTACGAACACGTTACGAATTAGAATAAAATAAGCAGAAACATAAGTTGCAGACGCTGAAGTCAGTTGAACTGGTTGATGCGTATTGTCAGTGTAAATTGTTTTGATTGACTGCTTGAAACCACGTGTACTTTTTAACGGAATAATTTGTTAAACATTAACAATATAATCTGCAACCTTTGAAATTAACAAATTGCATAATACCTTTGCAAAACTTTCGGTAAAATATTTTCCTTTGTTAAAATAATTACAAACCCTAGTTTTCTACAAAATTATGTTAAAATTTGAAAAAATAAAATTAACAAAGTTATGTTAACAAATTTGATTTTTAAAACAGTGTAAGGTTTCAATTAGAGCTAAATTCTGTAGCCCTTCATTTTCTAAAATCTTACAAATTATTATTATAATAGTTGTCGTAAAAGTCCAAGTAAATCCTGTGTACTATTAAAGTATAATACTAAGTATTTAAGAGCTGTATAGTCTGTGTAAGTATTTTTTTATTGGGACATATTCAGACACGGCAACAATGTACCGGATGCCCGGTACATAAAGTGTAATTCTTACGGTGCACTAAAAAGCGTAGAGTAAATAAATAATAGATGCACCTGGAAATAAAATTGCAGCAGGTATGAAAAAATTTAAGTTCCGAGCGACATCTATGCGGGTGCAACGTGCGGCTTTATGGGCGACTTGACGGTCGGAAGCGGTTGATATTGCGCTATATTACACTCATTTACATCTAAATGTACACCAATTCAGCCTTTTCTACGTCGAAATGCTGCCCTCGCTTTATGTACCAATCAACCGCTCGCTTTTAGATGAAACGCAGAACCGTAATCACTATTTTCATGACAAATGTACTTCAATTTCATACCAAGTTTACGGTTTAATAACCACTGATAAATATTTTAAGGCATATTACTTTAAATTATAATAAACTAAGTTCAAAATGTGGGGTTATAACCGCTAAGTTCAGGCAAATATAAATGTTCTGCCGCATTTAAGCATTTTCCAATAGTGTGAATTGACATCAAAATCTTTTACCTAATATTAAATTTGTTAGTAGATCCTTCGCAACCTAAATTAATTAGATAATAAAATTGACAAGTTTTTCCAGTGAACTTATATTTCAACTGGTTAATACTTTTTTCCCAATCATGAAAGAGTTATAGATTTAAAATTACACAGGTCAACAACATTTTTAAACAGAATCCAGACTATACTTTTCCGTTACTTCGTTTTCTAAAAACCGGACGTGATGGAGAAATTCTGAGATCGGATTAGAATTCCTTTCTGTGTTATTTAATGTTTTTTAATCCCTGCAGCTAAAGGTCCTCAAGACCAAAATTTAGCCACTAATAATTATAAAATTAGTCATTTTTGACTAATTCATTTTTAGAGAGTAATTAATTTAACAAAGGAATGTACAATTTTGTAAGCATTTTGTTAATTTTAAAAGTTACAGATTAGTTTTTTATTGTTTAACAAATTATTTCGTTGAAAAAGTACACGTAATTTCAGGCAGTCAATCAAAACATTTCCCACTAACAATACGCATCAACAAGTTCAACTAACTTCAGCGTCTGCAAGTACATATTCAACGAGTGTGCGAAGTGTGAAGTATCCGAAAAAAGATGCCATCACTGGTTTTCAAACTGAAATTAGGGACTACAGTGAAGTGGGTTAAAGTTACGAAATACATCAGTAAGTGTAGTAGTACTGATAATTATATGGTACCAATTTTTTTTATAATTTAATGATTTTAGAATGGTGTATTATTTAATTGTGTGTATGTTATTTTTGTTTTCATTTATGTAAGTATGTGTTAATTTTTTGGTTTAAAAAAATGATTAATAAAACAACATTTCTTATTAAAATTATTTTTATTTAAGTTCCCAATTTCCAACAAATACTTTTGTTACTGGACCTACAAAAAGGTTTGTAAAAACTACCTATTCAGCATACAATATTACGATTTTTTGTAGATGGACTATATTATGTCAAAAAAAATAAGGGCAAAATATCTGTCAATTTAAGAAGAGCTCAAAATGAATATTCAAAAATAAGCATGAGAAAATTGCGAGTTTTATAGGATGGATATAAAGCTAGAAAGTAAGCTAATAAAAATATAATCCCTTCATGATCCCTACGAATTCCATTATATATTAAACATAATATGTTTAATATATTGTTACAACGGTTGTTTTTGGAAACACGTACCTGTTCTTCATTACATAGTAAAAGATGAGTGCCTGTTTTGGACCGAAATTGTATATTTGAATAATAGGAGTTCGTTAACATTTTCTGTTAAATAAATCTGAAATGTTCAACTCCTAGTACCTCAAAAATAATCAGCAATCAACAATGTTCTTCATTATTGAAATGTATACTCTGACTCTGTATCTTCATGGGTTAACAATCAGTGACAAGGATAACCTATAGACGATATTGTGGTAGTTAAACTGTGCAGTAAAATAGTATGTATATTAAAGAACTAATGTCATAAGACGTAATTTTTTTATACGAGGAGAATTTACAAAACGAGCTACGAAGGAGTCTAATCTTACTACTAATTTAGTATTTATGAGGTGAGTTTATATTAAAATCATTCTTTACCATTGGCCTGTTTTTAAAATAATGCCTAGACATCACTCCTGTTAAAGTATCTGCCCTCCGTTAATATCAAAACTTATGTTTTGCAGATATTTTCTTAATTTTTTTCAAGCTTAGAGCATTTAGGTAACTGATACATATATAAAATGATAATGACTTGTATCTACAGTAAGAATCTGTTTCGTTTAATTTCTCGGTTCGACTCAAAATTTGGATATCTTTTTGATCAGGATCGATGGTATTAGTATAAAAGCTAAAATACTATAAAATAATTAGTAATTAATCATTACAAAAAATAGCATATTAATGTTTTGGTTGTTGTTCTAAAAACAATATTTGGTTTAATATAAAAATGTTTTTTATTATATTTTCAAGAATTTAATGGTACAACATACAATATATTTATTATATTTTTTTAATTTATTTTATTTCCGTCAGGATTTCCCAACCAAGGATAAGCAGGAGGACATTCAATGCAAGACTTCATATATATCGTCTTTCCATATTCATTTGTATAAGGACCACATTTTATAGATTTACATGTGCGATCTCTATCGGGTACATCAGTCTTAAATTGAGATAGTTCAACGGGATTTTTGATCCATTCCAAAACTTGCTTTTGCGTTACCAAAAATACGTCTTCTTGGGTTTTTAAGTCGTCTAACCAGGATGTAAAGGCTTCTAAAGCATTTGGCGCTTGTTCGAACCAATAGGAACCAATTCTAAGGGTCAGGGGAACTTTGGTTTCCTTTACTTTTATTAATTGATTATTAAGCCATGCTTTGATCTCATTAACAGTACCGCTACAAAAAATATCAATTTCTATTTTGTGTAAAAATGTATTAAATACAATATTAATTTAACTTTGAATTAAATACTGATAATTTACATTTACATTTTTTCCCTATTGAAAATGCCATATAGAACCCATATTGAATCCGATAAGGAAACGTATCTGGTTCTATATGGTTTTATAGGTCCTATATGGAAAGTCCTGGTTTACATTACGGATTCTATATGGTTGAATATGGATTTCCATTTTAAAAATTTTCATATTCAACCATATAGGGAAACCTAACTGGAAATACATATAGAACAGTAACCAGATAAATCCATATACAACCATATACATGTCTTTATAAAGACATGTATATGGATGTATATGGATTTATCTGGTTTCTGTTCTATATGTATTTCCAGATAGGTTTCCCTATCTGGTTCTATAGTGTTTTAGAGTGTTTTTATCTGGTTCTATAATTTAATCTTCTATCTGGTTCTATAGTAAAATGCCTGTTTCAAATACCTATATTGAACCAGATAGAAACCATATAGAATCCAGATACGTGTTTTTATATGGTTCTATATGGCATTTTCAATAGGGTTATCACTATTTCAAAGTAAAAATTATGGAAAAATTGACCAATCAAGAAAATTAAATTGTCATACTATTTTAGAATGGGTTTTCCCAATTCTTATTTGACTTACTTTTGTCCACAGTCAGCCAAATTGTTGCATCCATTACCATTATTATTCAAATCAACAATTGGCAAGATCCAGAATCCTTTGAAAGCTTCGTTGGGACAAAATTCAGCAACGCCGCAGTCTTGTGTAGTGAGGAAATCCAGGGTATAAGGAAATAGCGGTTTGTTTGGTAGAGTTGGCCATGAGCTGTCATATTGAAGATTAGAGTCAGTGTAGGCTTGAATGGAAACGTTTCCGTTCAACTGAAGTTGTGGGGTTCTTACACCGATAAGATCTTCTTCTGGAATGTTGGCAAATTTGGAAATAATGTATCTTTCACCACCGAATTCTTGTTTAAGGGTATCTAAGTCTGATTCTCTCCAGTATTCTTGGTCAGACGTCTTACTGTTTAAATTTATGAAAATGTTTTACATTAATAATAATAATTTTAAACTTTATTAACATAATTACGTAATTGAGTGTACTCCAATTTCATAACCAAAGTTGTAAAGATCGCTTACAAGATCGTATTCAGTGTATTCATGTGGAATGAAAAAAGTGGCTCCAATTTGTTGATCGTCAGGATTGTCGCGTGTTAGAATTTTTTCCCAGTATAAATCGTATAAGTTTTCAACAATAGCTTCGTCAAAAGTTAAGGAAATGAGCTAAAGAGAAATAGTTAATGACAAAAGTATTAAATGATCATTCTTATAATCAAAAAATCTTTCTTACAAAAACTTACTTGTGGTGTTTTGTCTAGGTCCAAAGGACTTATGCTGGAGCTACATCTGCAATTTGCTTTGCAAACATCAGAAGAACAAGCAGCTGCAGCTTCTTTATCGATCCTCGGCGAAGCCAAGGCGACTGATAGACATAAAATAAAAATGAATGCTCTCATTTTGGGAGTTTTAATTAAACATTAGAACTGAATTGTTTGTTATGATTTTACCATTTATATAGTAGTATATATCTTATCTGAAATATTTTGTATTTAGTGAGTAACTAGGTTTAATATGTTTAGATTTGATATATTGGACTATAAATAGATTAAACCCAATGATTATTTCCTTATAAATAAAAAATAAAAAGTCCCACCTTATCTAAGTAGGTATAATATTCCGCAATTAAATTTTAAAAAGTGGGTGTACAATGTAATATATATAATGGTAATTTTGTACTGTTGCAATGTGTATCAGTAGTTTAGTTTAATTTTCCAGTGTCACCTAACTGTTTCTTCTAAAGTGGCTTCAGTATGCCGGGCTAAAATCTTAGTTAATTAAACAATGAAAAATAATAAATAAATATTGTATTTGCCAATTATTTTAATTTATAAAAAGAAGATATTCGTACTTAAAATCATTATTATAACCATGAGTGTTGACAGGGAGGGCAGGGGGTGCAGCTGCCCCCTAGATGCTCAAAATCAAATGCCAGGTCACTTATTGTTTGTTTTATAATTATAATTTGTAGCAGTTACAGTTTAAATGTAATTAACGTTTTTCTGAAATTAATCGATTTTATATATACACAGAAAAAAATCTAACATAGTACCAAGAACAGCGCTTTCATTCAATGCATTAAAATTGAAGCAATCTAAATTGTTATTTGCTCAATTAATTACTATTAAACCAAAATAGGGAAATATTTTGCCTAAATATCAAAGAATTTATTGCGTTAAATGTATACATAGTATACATACAATAGTAACGTTATTAAATAAATCAAATTAGTATTTAATGCAATAACATTCTACCATTCTAAGAAATAAATATTAATATGAATATCAATATATTTAGGAGCGATAACTTTTGTTGTTAATTTAAAAACAGTAAACGATTATAAACCAAGTGCTAACTACCTATTGGTATTATAGGAACTGTTATTCAGGAATACGGATTACAAGATCCCATTGGTTTTATGGCTCACCCATTCATGCTATGCTAGCGTTTTTTCTGTGCAGCTTATAAATCATTTTGGGAAAAATTATTAAAAATCATTTAATTAAACCAATTTAAAGCGATAAAGTATGTTTTTAATAAAAAAATAGACCGGCTATTTTGTTTTAAATCGATAAGGATTATCTTTTAGTACGTTAAACTGCATTTCATGTTCATGTTCTTTGTTTACTTATTTTTATTTTTGAAAAGTTTTTAACAAAGCCGAAACATTACCAACGAACAAAATTTGATGACCGTCCCGAAGCAACTTTTCCCAAAATTAGACTTTTGATAAACCCACATAAATTGGCGAAAAAATGGTAAAAACTTCGACTTTTTCCGTTATAGGTTTTCGAGCCACAAAGATGAAAAAAGTGATTCACAGACTCGCGGGCAACAAAAAAAAGCTGCGGAGCAGCCACTGCATTCTATATTGTAAATTTCACTTTGCAAAAACATAAATTCATTAGGATTAACCTAACAAATCTAAATTTCTAAGAAAATACCGATTACGTCAACATTATTAAATTAAAATTTTATTTTATCTTAAATGCCTTTTTTAAAATTGCATAACCTTTCTTTTTATTGTGGACTAGATAGAGTACAAAACCATTTTCCCAAGATTGCGTATTTTAATTTTGTTTTGCAAATTAACAATAAAATATATTATTTATCACCCACAAGGAATATGTCATTTCGTGGCCCTGCTAAGAGTGGGCAAAATAATGAATTTCCTGATTGTTTATTTCTTAACTTTAACCCTTGAGCGGAATATAATTTCGTCCACAGTCTGAAGTTAGCTTTAAGTTCAAATTGAACAAAAGTAAGGTTAAAACTGCCTGACAGTTGCCAGATGTCAAATAAAATATTAAATAGAATTGGCTTTATATACCTTGTAATTAAATAAAATATTGTGTTATGCTTTTGCTCAAAAAGGAGATTCCACGCTTAAAAAAGGTGTTTTTTCCCTAGTAACAATATACGTAGGTAGTACTACTAGGTACTATTATTTTTATGGTAAAGAATACGACACGAATTTCCAGTGATAAAATCATTGATAATTCGTATTCGTATAAGTTCAAATTATAATCCACTGATTTAAAATTTAGGTTCAAAATATTTTTTTTACATTTTTACCAAATCCTTTAGGTTTCGTCAGTTTATTGAGGGAAAAGGGGTTAGGGGAGTTCATTTTATACTTAAGGCATAAATAGTGAAACAAACTTTGAAACAAAAAATTTACTTAATTAAAAAAACAGACAATTGTTTAACTAATTTTATAATTATTTTTTATTTTAATTAAAAATGCACTATATACACACATGGTGTCCGGAAATAATGTTAATATTTAGGCATTTAAACTGTTAAGCAAAATTAGGTTTTTAATAATTATTTTACAAACGGTTAGTGTTAAAATAATAATAATAATAATTTCTGTGGTAATTTTTGTCCTACATTTTGTTTGTGGGGTTTTGTTTAATTTTCGATCTTGGAATACAATTCTACAGATAATTTTAAGTAAAAAATTACCATAATTATAATGCATGACTAAATTAAAAATTAAAAATCCAGCTTCGTCGAAAAAAATAATTTTTCCAATAAAGTTGGGATCTTCATGCCATTTTCTTCTTTACCAGCGACAGAATTCTAATCTACGTATCCTAAGGATTTAAAGCTTGTACTCTTTGTAAATGATCGAGAATTATTTTCCAAACTGTACATTTTGAAACGTCCAATTGCTATTCTTCTAGTGCTTGTCCCAGGATTAGCGGCAACTACTTCCAGGACCGTTTCTTCGTTTTCCACTTTTTGAGTTGTTCAATTTCTCCTGCCTTTGTTTACTTTGACAGTTTTACAGTCTGATGTAAACTGGGAATGCATCAAGGTACAATCTTCGAGCTTCGCGAATATTACCATTGGCCTTACCGTTCTTAAACTTCATGTTGGCCATTTTTTAGGAAGTCTAATTTACCATTTTTGTTAGAAATTACAGTTTTGAAAAACGATTTGACACCACTGCCAAAATAACGATATTTGCGAAGCAGGCTTACTTAAGTTGTATTCGGAAATTATTTTTGATGGGAACCGAGATTTTGGTTCCTCAGAAATGTCTGTCAATTGTCAAAATTTTCCTGAAATTTGGTCGTTTGGTTACTAAAAAAGCGTCACACATTTTTAACGGTAACATTTTGGTTGCAAACATTTAATAAATAACAATATTTTTGTGTTTTTTTTTTTTAATTATTTACTTTAAAAACGAAATTATGGTAGTCACCAATTAAATCAAACTAAATATTCCTAGATAATCACGTGTTCGTAATCCAGTATTGCCAGATCTTCTAGACAAAAATTATAATGATAAGTTTAGTTGGACACGGTCATAATTTATCGTACTGTACTGTATATGGCACATCCACATGCATTAGTGCATACGAGAAAAAAAATTAAATGTCACGTTAGAAGATATGCATTAATTATAGTCATGGGCTGTATAGAAGATGTATTTAATTAACCCATATCTAATAACATATCAATACAAAATTGATGATTTTTTTCTCGTATGCACTTATACCTGTAAAATTGGCATATACATTTTTGTTAACATTCGCAACAGTTTGGTAATAATAACATCCCGTCTTAGCAACTTTAATAATTTTTTACAACCTCAAATTTTTTCAACATGTTCTTAAAGCGTCTAATATCGTTGGGTTCCAGCACTTGAGAAGGGACCACGCGATAGCGAGTGCTCTTGAAAAGGTTAAAGACTAAAACCAACAATAATTTTTAAAATGTGCAAACCAATTATAGTGAAACAAACAATTTTAGAGTGCAAACTAAACTAAACTAAAATGGTGCAACGGTCAATGAAGAGTGAAGTGTTAGTGATGAATGAGTTAAGTGCCACCTGTCATTGGACGCTTTACACTGGACAAACAAAGGAGGTCAATCAAGAAGGGAGGTGGCCATCCGCAAAAAATTTGATAAGTATCCTTAAGCATATTCATGACCTAACAAATAATCTGCAATTTAAATTAAACACGACGATATCTTTAAAACTCAAGAAAGGCACACTGCATAGACCAATAAAGCTGTCAACAACAAATAAGGCAAATCCAAACGAGACCAATAATAAACACTAGACACACAGAATAAACTAACACATTAATATAATCTTAACATAGTTTAAAAAAAAGCATAATAATCAAACTCTACTGGATTTGTAAACATTAGATAACAGAATAATTGCGCTTGTCATTTGTTTAACTAATAAATAAATGGATAACTTAATTTTGGAATTAAGGAAAAAAAGACAAAACTCTACCACAAAACGTGCCTGGGCAACACAATAACTAATAATAAAAAAAATTGTTAGAAATTTCGCACTTCTGCGGCAATAAACAATTAAAAAAAAAACACTTAAAGCTACAAGTTACACCCAGCGACCCAGCGATGGTTTTTGGCATCAAGACACGGGCAATGACAATAACGAACAAGACGAAGACCTCGACTAGGAAACTTCACCCCTGCAGCGAAATAACAACTCCCAAACTCCAAATAGTAATCCCAAATGTTTGGAGTAATACTAATCGACTGGTCTAGGGGGATTCCGCGTCGTACTTAGTTTTAAGTCGGCGTAATTGTCCCCCAAAAACCAACACCTTCCCGTCCCTCCTCCATACCCCAATGAGCGTATAGCATAGGCTCGGCGAACCCGGGAATGGCTATTAAAACTATTCGCCTCTCGCTCTCGAGCCCCAAATAAAGGACAGTACGGAACGCAATGGACATTCGCACCCAGCAAACACGGGTGAAGCCGTGCAGTTGCTAGGGAAGAACAAAAATCGGCGTAAGTAAACATAGGCCTGTACGGGGTTCGAGAGTCAAGAGGAAATGGGGCTGGTTATACGTCTCTTATACTCATACTCATACTCATGTTCTTAAAGCGTCTAATATCGTACCCGAACCAGATTTTA